AAATCACACGAGTTTATCATTCGGTCAATTAAGTCGTAAAAAACCCGGTGATAATTATAAAATAAAATTCCACTGGGTATTATAGAATGTAAAAACGTAATATTTTGAATTATTGCACTAGAATCATTAGATAATAATAAAATGTAAATTTAATCAATTTGAATCACGCCTGTTTTTGTAACATTAAATAATCTTGGGAATGGCAATAATTTTTCTAATTCGAGACTGTTACACGGCAAAAATTCGTTATAAAACGCGCGTATTAAACCAATCAAAATCGGTAGTTTTCAATTCCGCAAACCGACTCGGATCATTAAATCGAACCATTTCGATTCTTTCGATATATTTTTTTTATTAGCGTCCAGCTAACATTTTACGGCATGAAACATTAAATTTCATTATGTAAAGTCGTGCGTACGGTACTGGAAAATGAAGTAATTGTTTTACGTGTTCAGTAAAACTTCTACATAACGGACTTCGGATATAACAAACAACATATTTTTAAGTTATACTATTAATATTATCTATTATAGCTTATAAATAGAATCCAAATCGGGTTCTGCCCCAATTTGCTCTATTCCATGTTCATAGATAATCTAGCTCAAGATTCCACGAGTTGTTTATATCATGTATAAATCAAGGACAGTAGAACCAAATCATTTGGGTTTAGCCGCACGTCTCTAAAGACGGCTAAACCCGAATAATTCTAGTTCTAGGTCTAGTCTTGGTTCTACTGTCCTTGATTTATACATGATATATACAACTTGCTTGTGCAGCGCTAGATTGTTGTATATTTTTATTGAACTAAAAGTAGAACTAATACTAGACCAAGAACTAGAATCATTTGGCTTTAGCCGTCTTATGAGACGTAGGGCTAAACCCAAATGTTTCTAGTTCTAGGTCTAAATGTTATTTCTAGTGACAGTGCAAGTATAAAACTAGAACTAACACTATACCTAGAACTAGAATCATTTGGGTTTAGCCGCACGTCTCTAAAGACGGCTAAACCCGGATGATTCTAGTTTTAGGTATAGTGTTAGTTCTAGTTTTTTGCCGTCTTTAAAGACGAGCGGCTAAACCCAATTGATTCTAGTTCTAGGTATAGTGTTAGTTCTACATAGTAACAGTGCTAGTGTAAAACTAGAACACTTGCTCTGCAAGTATCCTAGTACTTAGGCCAGGCTGCTCTTCAATAACATTCAAAATCTCCTCCTCGACATTAACAATTTGTAAAGATTTAACTGCTCCTCCATTTTGCCCAAGCCTCGGATGAATATTGCCATTTTCCCTACCACGTTGCACCACCATCTCTCTGGAAATCTTTCTGCACAGAGACGAGCCGCAAGCACAGAATTTTGGCGTAATTCCCCGTGTGCCAGTACCATGTCCATAAGTTTTTCGTTAGAGAAATTATGCACCATAACTTTTATAAGCTTTAAATGTTATTACTTATTACACAATTTAAATGTCACAATGACACAAGCGTAGTTACAAGTAATTTCTATGTATTCTTAATTCGAAAGGTAATTTCAAGTATATCTAGAAAACTAACAAACTTTTGTTACACTTTTTTTCACTAATTAGTCGTTATTTAAGTTGATTGACTTTTATTGGAATAACATACTTCCACAAGTCACAGAAAAATAAAAAAAAATCTCTTACAAATGAAACTCAAATATTCAATAATCTATGTGGAATCAAATCAAACTCTGTTGGCATGGATGGCAAAAGTGTTAAAATACTTTCATTGTGTTGTCCTTCTTGTGCCATATAGTTAACTATTCCATTGAATGTTCTGTGTGCCCTGATATTTTTAAGATCGCGGTGACTCCAATTCCAAAAACCCCAATCCTCATGAATTGGGGACTTGAGACCAATTAGTATATTGCCTATATTATCCAAGCTTTGTGAGAGGGACAAGACGGTGCCATCTTGATGACTATAATGTGTTGCCAGTCTGGTTTTCGTCCGGGATTTAGTAGCGCTACTGCGCTTCTTGGTGTGACAGATGAAATCTTCAAACCAATTGACAATAAACGGGTTACTATCTTAACACTTTTGGATTTTTCTAAGGCTTGTGATAGAATACATCATGATACTCTAGTGGCTGCGCTTCATTATATAGGTTTATCTTCAGGTTCGATTCATTTAGTACAAAGTTATTTGTCTGGACGATAGTAGTTTGTTAAACTTAATGGTGGTACATCCAATACTGCAGATGTTATAGCGGGTGTCCCACAGGGCTCTATTTTGGGTCCTCTGTTATATCTGATATCTACAATTGGGTTCACTAATGTTTTGGATCACTGTATGCCATACTTTAATGCTGATGATACTCAACTGCTCTACTCTTTTAAACTATGCGATATGGAAGACGCTGAAAGCAAAATTAATCATGACTTAGTTAAGGTCAAAGAACTTGCTCTCAAGCTTTGTCTATGGATTAATGCTAGTAAGTCATTGGTTATGGTTTTTGGGGATAGAGCTTCGACTGAGTTTGTAAAAACTAACTTGCAATTAGTGATGGGTGGAAGTCGTTTTAGCTTTGGGGAAAATGTAAAAATTTTGTGTATCTGTTTCGATAAACGACTTCGCTTTGTTCGGTGCTTTCTACGGAGAGCTTACTGTTAAGGTTGCTTTACAACAACCTTAGAACGCATCTATGTGATGCCTTGGTGTTGTCCATCTTCAATTACGGTGACGTAATATATCACTCCTGCCTTGACAGCGTTCACACTGCTAAAATTCAAAAGTTATAACTCTTATCTGCGATTTATATATGGTACCCGTAGAAGGGAGCGCATATCACATACGCTGGCATGGGCTGGTTGGCTGAGCATGGCGCGCCGAAGGACTCTTCAGTGCTTGTGTCTCTACCACAAAATTATCTTATACAAAAATTCGCCTAACCTTTATGATAAAATTAGATTTTGCAAAATATCATACGCTATCGATACCTTACCACCGCTTAGACATTTTCAAGCGCAGCTTTACGTATTGTATGCCTAATTTATACAATTGGCTACCTGATTCCTTCAGGAGTCTTTCTCTGATTTCCTTTAAGGCAAGGGTTAGGACTTATTTAAGTGAGCGGTAAGTTGACTGAGCACTCTTCTTCCTTGTTTATTTTGAAATGGTTTTATAGCCGGGGGGAGGATTGGGGGCTGGCAGAGATTGAGATATATATATATATATATATATGTGTATGCTTGTTATATGTAAGTATACTTCTTATTGTGTATTTTAAGTTTGTTAATTTTAAACTGCCTTGTTAAAATTTATTGTTATTTTTTCTAATTGTACATGTATCTTATCCGATTAATAAACATTATTACTATTATTATTTGTCATGAGGAATAAATCCCCAAGTTTATACGTATAGGTTGAGAATCACCCTTTATAACTTCACTCATCTTCTTTCATTTCCATCATAAGTGCATCGTAAATTGTCCAGTGTTTACTGTCGGTATCTCTTTCTGTTCTTTTTAAACACATTTTGTCTAACATCAGCCTGTTGTACTTATTAGTAATAAATTTCTTATTCAATTCTTCGTGTCTTTGTCGTATTGGTTTTATATTTATTCTAGCGTAGAGGTGATCATTGCTTATATTGTGCAGGGAATTTTTAGGATGTCGGATTTTGCTTATTATTCTTATACATCTCCTTTCTGTTATTTCAATAATATCCTTGATCTTATCTAATACCGGTCTGCACATGGTTTTATAGATCTTCATTGCAGTGTTGGTGTGGTTCCCTTCATTTTTGTTGTTACTTACTTCCTTTCTATTAATGTTTGTTAGTGTTTGCATAATTTTAAGCCACAGTGTATTTGATTTACTTAACTCCCTCTATCTTTTGGGGTTTATATAACAACATAACCAAAGATTTATCAAAACTAAGAAAACAAAACTTATAAGGGTATCTACTAAAGTTGAGGTTCTACTCATCACTAGATGGCGCGAGTTTATAAATCAGCTTGCAAAGACTGTTAACAATGCAGTGCTGTATGACTGTGCATATTTCTTAAGTCTAAAGTACTCTTCATCTCCTATTCTTTCTATCATTTTCCATTCAACGAAAATTATGGTTTCAACAAATTTAAAAATTTATTGGACTGCTTCAAGATATTCAAAATATATCTACAAAAAACTTAGAAACAATGTTACAATAATCAAAAAGTATTGGAGCAACGTTTAATATGTATATTTACTATTAACTAAAGCGATAAAACATATCGATTTAGTTACAATAGAATAGTTACAATTCAAATGAGCCACATAGTTTCGCGCCATTCATAAATTAGATAACAAAGGTTAAATAAAAAGCCTTTTTCATAAACATTCGCATAAAATTAACAAAATGAATCGAATTTGAAGGACTTTTTAAGTACTTTAAGAAAATTTAAACAATTTAATCAAGACTTAACTGAAAATTAAGTTTTAGAATGTCATCAGATTTAAGAATAAAGTCCTTAAACATCTATTTATAATATCCATAACGGAGATGGAATAATAAAAGATTGATTACACCTTTTAGATTGGTGGAAACATAACCTAAGTTAATAACGCTTGGTCCAATTAAAAGGCGAATTGAAATTGCACAACAATCGAGTCGCGGACGCCACTGTAGCCGTTAAGGGGGGCGCCTAAGGCTGCGGCGGTGGTGGCGGCATCTCTTAAAAGCGCAAGTTATAAATAAAACCAACGCTTCGTTCACCGTTAACAACTATAAAACCGTTTACAGCGTCGACTAGGTAGTGAAAAAGAAAAGAAAGGATTTCATACATAAAAAAAATCATCCGCAAAACCGAATGCGACCAACTTCGCTTCGATCGGCCGATTCGGTGGATCGCACGTGTCGTTGCGATCGTTCCCGATTCTCCCCGATTTCCTAAACCTTACGAAGTAAAAAAGAAGGCATTTCTAAACAACAATAATACCTTTATGAAAAAAATTGATTACAACTAAAATTATATAAACAAATTTTTGGTTAAACTTACGGCTGTTGATGGGTGCCTCGTAGGGGTGGGATACATCGTTGCCACACTTCTCTAAAACGGAACAATACACACTGTCACGGGGGCCACCACCACCACCACCTGGGGGCCACCTTTACATCCAAATAGAGAACAACACTCCGCGTTTTTCTTATCCTACCACCACATCCTACGATACTTTATGAAAGAATGAAAGTATACAAACGTTACTCGAGTTATACAACGGTGACGACGACCACCAAGACGATCAAGAAACTGTTTGAAAGCGACGGCTGCGGCGTCGGACGCGCTCCGAACGGCGGCAACTCATCTGCCGGGACGCCGGTGTTGACCGTGTGGCGGGAGATCCCGTACCCACGTGGTTGTTTGCCCGTAACGTCACTAAAAACCAGGCCAATAACGTGTCTCCGACCACTGTAAACCCTCCCAAACTACTGATGACACTCGCTTGTTGGGTCAACGTGGACTTAACCGTTAATAATAACTACTCACATCTTTTGACACACGTCAAAACTGACACTTTAAAACAGCCATCTTGAATCTTTAGAAAACTGTTTTACCGACTTTGGTGTTAGTTTTATACTTGAAATATAGATTTATTTATTATTACAAATAAGAAATTCATAAATGAATTGGTTTATAATTAAAAATCGATATTAAATCATTAATTAATTACCATTAAACAAAAACAAAATCGTTGATTTTAGGAGTGATTAATTATGTTGGATATTTGAAAACTGTTTTATCGGCACTACAATTTTTATTAAAAATAAGGTTATATTTAAATGATTTAATTACAAAAATTGTATTAGAATTCAAAATGAATAAAGAATAGTACAAATATTAATTTAAATAAAATAAATATTGTAGGAAACATTTTTACCGACTAAATCATAATAATCCTAATTAATTTTTAATTTCAATCGTTTATTTTAATAATAATAAAATTAAATAATAATTTAAAAAGAATCAAGTGTTTAAATAAACCAACTCAATCTATTTACGAGAAAATTAAGTTAATGACAATGATAATTATAGTGTTCTACATTACCAACATAAAGAGACTATAAAATCATCGAACAGCTGTAGAAATACTGAGTAGACGTCAAAAAGGGGGTTCAAGCGGTGTGTGCGTGTGCTATTTCGGTGGCAGTCGGTTGTGTTTAAAAAAGAAAATAGGTAGGCTCGCGCGTTCGAAGCGGCTATGGTGAAGCTAAAAGCGCTGCTATAACGCGAGTTTTCTCTCAAAATAAAATAGAAAATAAAAGTGCGAATAATCGAGTAGTGTTGTGGGGCCCTTTGAAATAAAATAAGAAGAAGATGGATTACAAGAGTATCGTTTATAACGCCGCTCGAGATGGGAACCTCAACAGATTAAAGGTGAGTTCGTTTAGACCCCGCTACAAAACGGCCGCTGCCGCGGTTCTCTATAAATAAACCGATAAACAAGTCCGGCGCTCCGTTGAAATTTTTAGGTTGGCAACCAAAACGGGGGAGACGTGTGTGTGTATGCGTGTATGAGAGGATTTTTTGGAATTTTTTTCTGTTTAAAAAATGAAATTTTTTAAAAATCCGTTTATTTTAAGATTGATTTATGTATTTAAAAAAAATGTGAGGTTAGGCTTTGTTGTCATTTCTTTATATTGAACTGTCAAAGTTGTATTGATGTGTTTTAAAATAATGAGATTTCTTTCGAGTTTTACGCGTTTCGTGGATATTTTCCCGATTTAAAAATATCTATCGTTAAGATAAAATCGTACGTACTTGTACCGATTTATTTTTAAAATTCTTTGAAAAAATACTTAAATCTGATGACCTTACAAACTCTAAAAACGTCACAACGGTTTAGAAAATGATTAGGTCAGCGTGTCGAGTTTATTATCTTTTTTCCCATTTTATTTTTTTTTATTGTTTTATCGTTTTTAATCCCGACCTTATCTCTTTTATCACATTGCAATATAAAAAGTTATTAACACTAACAACAATGGAAATTTTTTTTAGGCGAAACGTTTTAATAACGGTTTATTTATAAAATCGATTTATTTTTTTATTTCAAAATAAAGGCGAGTAGAAAATGTAAACAAAGAAATGAAAGAAAAGTTAATTTTTAATATCTTAACCTAAAATAAAAACGTCAAAAATTGAAATGACATAATTAAAAATGGAAGTTTTTAGGGGTTACCAACCTACGCAAATTCGATTTATCAGAAACATTACTAAACGTTTCCAGCTCTAGTGACAGTGCTAAGTAACACTAGTTAGCGCTATATATCACTATATCGCATATTTTTAGTAAACCAAACTAGAACTAACACTAGACCTAGAACTAGAAACATTCGGGTTTAGCCGTCTTATGAGATGCATGGCCCGAATGTATCTATTGCAGGCAACAAACATATCTATAATTTATTGACTTTCTTTTGCCACCTTTGAATTTTACAAGCAAATATGTCCCTGTTTGGATGCTTACATCATTCGGTTTCTCCATTTTAATAAAGTCTTCCTTTAGTTCTTCAATTTCACTATCTGCAGACTCTACCATTATTTCTTTTTCTTCTGATTCTACAGGGTGTTTCGGTGACTCGGGGAACAAATTTAACCACATATACTAGAGTGAAAATGATGACGATTCATGTAAAAAAAATTAGTAAAAGTCCTCAAATTTCGAAGATACAGGCCATCAAAGTTATGAAATTTTAACACATTTTTCTAAATATCTTAAACACTATTTATGGTAATGTGCTGAAATTTGGTACAGTATAAACTAATATCACGTAAAACCATTGGGTAATTTATAAGTTGGATCGGTCCGCGGGAACAATGCTATACAGGATGTTCCTAAAATTTGTTTGCTCAGAACTTTTTTATTCGATCGTAACCCTACATTTATTTTTACAGTTTCTAATAGAAAATTTATTTTAGAAACTTTTATTACTCTTAGATAATATTGATAAAAATCACCGTTTTCGTGTTAAATGCAAAAATGTTAGGTTCCGATTTCAATAACACAAAAAAAAAAAATCTAAGTCGGCCATGACAAGTGAAAATCGAACTGAGCCGTCATAAATATTATGTATGTAACATTTCCAAGTGTAGATTAGGTAAATCCCTTTTTAATTTGTTTTAGTTGATTTAATAAAAGATAATACAAAACAATAAATTTAATTTTAACGACAACGCTAACAGGAAAAATAAAACAAATACATAAAATAACAAGACAAGTAATAAAAAATACTATAGGAAATGTTCAAAAAGACCACATGTCCCTTCTGGTATTTAACGGAACGTCACTAAGAACTCGTCCAATCCTTCCAAATGTTGAGTATGTAGGCCATCAAGTCTTGACGGCAAGAAAACGGGACCAACAATGACTTCCCCCACAATCCCAGCCCAAACATTGAGAGAAAATCTCCATTGAGATTTCCAAGTTTTGAAAAATTTTGGATTTTCTTCAGCCCAACTATGTAAATTCCTTAAATTAATTATTCCATCTTTGGAAAAAGTAAATTCATCGGTGAAAAGTATTTTTTCTAAAAACTGATCATCAATTTGTATTTTCTGTTGCATTTTCTGGCAATATTCCAATCTAATTGGATAATCGGCAAGCTGTACTTCCTGAACCTTACAGCAGTGAAATGGGTAAAGCTGCTGCTCTGGAAGAATACGCCACACAGTCGTTTTTGACGTCCCAAATCGCCTAGCCATGTCCAAAGTACTATTTTCTTCTGCATGTTCTAAAATTAACTCTTCCAATTGAGGAGTTCGAACAGATCTAGGGCTGCCGTTGTTCAGAAAGATATGTTTTAGTGATCCATTTTCTCTTAATCGGGCTTCAATTCGAGAAAACATTTTTCTGTTGGGGGTTCTACGATTCGGGAATTTTTGCCGATAACGGTTAGCGACTGCTACGGAATTTGCAAGACATTCACCCAATGTTAAAAGCATATCGGTTTGTTCTCCAAACGTGTAATTTTCCATTTCGAACACTACAAGGTTTTTAGTATTTGTTTAAACGACTAAGCGTGTTTACAACTGTCAATGAATTCGTTTGTTAATTGTCATGGCAGATTTAGACTTTTTTTTTAGTGTTATTGAAATGAGAGCCTACCATTTTTGCATTTAACACGAAAACGGTGATTTTTATCAATATTTTCTAAGAGTGATAAAAGCTTCTAAAATAAATTTTCTATTAGAAACTGCAAAAATAAATGTAGGGTTACGATCGAACAAAAAAGTTCAACAAATTTTAGGGACTCCCTGTATAGCATGGTTGCCGCCGCCCGATCAAAGTCAAAATTGGTTCAATGATTTTGCTTGATATTTGTTTACCCTGTACCAAATTTCAACGCTCTACCATAAATGGTATTGAAAATATTTAGAAAAATGTGTTAAAATTTTTGAACTTTGATGGCCCATATCTTGGCCATTTGAAGACTTTTATAATAAATTTTTATCACCAATCGTCATCATTTTTGCTCTAGTATATGAGGTTAATTTTATTCCCCGAGTCACCGGAACACCCTGTATATCACTTTCATCATCTTGGTAATTTTCTATTATTTTCTTAGCCTTAGATTTCTTATTGCTTATTGCCTTAGTGCATCAACATTTTTTTTTTTCGTATATTAAATTATTAATGTATTCCTCTTTAGTAATAATTTCCGATGTATTTATTCGTCGTTTGACTCGATTAGTAATAGTAGTTTCAGAAGGACGTGCTACTTTCAAAAGAATACTTTCAAAACTTTTTCCGGGTGATTGTTCATCATCATTACAATTCTAGTTCTAGTGACAGTGTTAAGTAGCACTAGTTATCACTATATCACATATTTTTAGTGAAGCAAAACTAGAGCTAACACTAGACCTAGAACTAGAAACATTTGGATTTAGCCGCACGTTTCTAAAGACGGCTAAACCCAAATGATTCTAGTTCTAGGTCTAGTGTTAGTTCTAGTTTTAATTGTTATGCAGCGCTAGATCAAGAATTAGAATCATTCGGCTTTAGCCGTCTTAAGAGACGTGAGGCTAAACCCAAATATTTCTAGTTCTAGGTCTAATGTTAGTTCTAATGACAGTGCAAATATAAAATTAGAACTAACATTATACCTAGAACTAGAATCATTCGGGTTTAGCCGTCTTTAGCGACGTGCGGCTAAACCCGAATGTTTCTAGTTCCAGGTCTAGTGTTAGTTCTAGTGACAGTGCTAGGTAGCGCTAGTTGGCACTAGATATCACTATGCCCAATATTTTTAGTGAAGCAAAACTACAACTAACACTATTCATGGAACTAGAAACATTCGGGTTTAGCCATCTTAAGAAATGTACGGCTAAACCCGTGTATTTCTAGTTCTAGGTCTAATGTAGTTCCAGTGACAGTGTTAAGTAGCGTTGGTTAGCACTAGATATCACTATGTTGTATATTTTTATTGAACTAGAGCTAATACTAGACTACTAGTCTTCACACGCACGAAAATGTAAACAATGAAAAGTCAGTTAAAACCAAAACTAAAGCTAGGTGTCCACTTGAGAGAAAGTTCTGAGAGTAACTCTCGATATCTACTCTCAATTGTGTGTCCGCTTGAGACTGTTTTAGCTCTCCGAGAGCTTTCTCTCAGACAGTTCTCTGAGGACCGTGTCCACTAGTGAAATGTGTCCGTGCTATGGAAAGTAAAATTTATTTTCTTTCAGTGTTTGGTGTGTGTAAACTCGGATGTAAAAAAAATTTCAAGTGCAATAGTGTTGTACAAACTTTAAAAAAAGAAGAGTAAAAAATAAAAAGAAGCTGTTGGGTGAAACCATGGATTGGGCGTAGATTAGAGCTTGGGTGTCAACAAATATCAACATTTGTTATCAAATTATTAGTTATTTGGCATGCTGGATTCACAAAAAAGTTAACTCTGACTAGATATTACTGGCAGAAGACTAAGTATTACTAATGAAAGACTAGATGTTGCAAATGAAGCAGATTCTTCTTACAGAAGACTTCGCACTACTACCAGAAGACGAAATACTGTTGGTAGAAGACTAGATATTGCTATATTCAAAATAAAAGGCTAGTTAGGCCTAAACGATGATTTTTACTAAATATCAGTGCGACACGTGTTTCGCCCTTCCTGAAGGCATCTACGGGTACGACTACGATACAAAATATATATATAGTAGAGATTTTTATTATAAATTTCTTATCTTATAATTAAAATTAATAAAATGTTACAATATTTACCGTCAAACGGCTTATGACATGTTCGGGGGACCTTGTGTTGTTCTCGACATATTCTTAATCAAGTTATGTTGTAAAACGTTATTAAAATTGTTTAAAATGTATATTGTAAATACGTTCGTGTAATATATTTCGTTTGTTATTTGTTCCTGTTCCAAAA